GGAGTAGTGTCCGTATTAGACACATTATCTGCTGCATGTCGGGTTTTCACCATCGGTTCAGAGAGTGTGCAATTGAATAGGCAAGGTCGTTTCTGCTTAAACAATTGCTGTTGATCAAAGTTATCACTATTAATAATTGTATCAGAGTGTGAAAATGAAACCTCGTTGCCAGGTGTTAAATATGTTGGATGATGATGATGATGATGATGATCCTTCTTTTCATTTTCGTTTTTTTGTTGTTGTCGATGATTCTGCATCGATTCCTTCTGTTGATCGTATTTCTGAACCATTGAAAAGACCGCTTGCGGTAACGGTGGTAGTGGCATATTTTCGGCTGCCGCTGCATTTCTCGCGTGTTCCATTAGATGTTCCGTCAAATTTGCATAGTGCATCGCCGCTTCATGCGCTATTTTGGCCTGTTGTTCAAATGATAGCAAATACTTGTACGACGGCTGATCGCTTAATAAAGGTGGTGGAATAAAAGATGATGTTGACGGTCCTGAATTATTGGCTGTAGCAATTGGAAGTAATGATGTGGGTCCGGTTGCCGAAGCAGTTGGAGTGATAGGAGCTACGCTGATCATAGTAGGAGGAATTGATGATGGATTTATCGTGCTGGATCGTTGTGGTGCTGGAAATGATTGTAGGAACCGATCAAATGCTGTCCCATTCGTATTCATACTCATTGAGTTATGTTGCCGAAGCGGATTTGGTAAAATTGCTGAGGTGGGATGAAGTCGAGGATCGTTATTAATGATATTGGCGTAAGGTGAAACGTTTGGTTGCAAAAGTGATGGATTGAATCGATCGGTTGAAAACAAAAAATTTCGATTGTCATTATTATTAGATGCGCAATTGCTCGTATTATTAATAAATGCAAAAGGACCACGGTTGTTAAGGATATTGAAAGTTGATGGAACAGAGTTGCTAACTGGTACAAATGCAGTTGTTGAGCAAATAGCAGTTGGGTCCGGAGTACAAAATGAACTCGAATTTCGCTCTTCTTTGTTCGGAGTTGTTCTTGAAATATGTCGTCGTGACATCTTTTCCTACCCAAAAATTAGCTCTGTGATTATATGAAGTGGAAATTTTTGGGAAAAAGTTGGTCGAAAAGCTGAATATTCTGAAGTGCAGCTCGGAATATCTCAACCGGGATTTTTCTTCGAAACCTCTTCGAAAATAGGATATACACCGGACAAAAATGAAGCAACTGCAGTTATTTGTGGAAAATGGCAGCAGCTAAGAGCACGGGTCGCTGCAAGTCATTGCACTGAACGATAAGAGGTGAGGTGATCTATCGAGGTGGCGGGGTTAGGTCGTGACGTAATATGATGTGATGGTGAACTTGACCTGAGGGTAGTAGGTAAATTATGAAAAAAATACCTGTAAACAACATAGATGCAGAGGGCATCCATTGCTAATATTCTCCAATATGAGGGACAAATGAACGATGGATATGTCCGAGGGAAAAGCAAATTTCCTTTTATTGAAAACAATTGTTCTTTGGATTGAAATATTTAAGGTATTGCACAAGTTGAACGAGTTCAAAAGTCAACTTGTCAATGTGTTAATTTTTAGAATATGTTGGCTTATGTTCATTCGGTTTGTTTTTCGTAGGTAAGTCTGTTTCTTAAGTAGCCACCACAAAAACCATTGAAAAACTTTTATTCATCAATTTAATGGATACTTATTCAAACTATACAAAAATATATTTTCAACAGATTATCTTCTAACGAAAAAAGATCTTTAGAGAAAACGGACAATATTTCAGTCAAGATGGAGAGAGAGGGAGAGGGAGAGTAAATTTCAGGTAGCTCAGAAGAGAGAACAGAAGCATCGGGTAGGAAGTGTTAGCTGACGCAACAATTATTATTTCTATTCTCTCTGAGTTGCACTGACTTTGCTTACCGTATTGCTGTGCAATAGTGGTGCAATGACCACTGGACAAATTTGACCTGATGTCCGACCATCTAACTAACTATAACGCCTTACCTCTCATTACAAGCAAATCCTCAACATCACACAAAAAATTGTTCAATGCCTTTCTTGATTCTTTTCTCTCTTTCTCTCTCTCTCTCCCCCATATTTTTCACAATGTTTAAATGTAGAAATTTTTTAAATACATGAATACAACACGATCTCGAGATTCACGGTAAACAATAGCAAACATTATCACTACCACTACCCAATATGCATATTCGATGGTTGAAATTGCAAAATGACAAGGTAACAATTCGCTCTTGAACAATATGATTTCTACTCCATGTTATTCCGATTTTAACTTCTTCTTTCTTGAAGTAAATTTTTGAGCCTAATTTCAAAATTCCACAAATAATTGCAGTGCTTCTTATTTCCTCTCTTCAGATCAGTGTGTTTGATATGTAAGCGAAAGAGATGTATGAGACAAATGTTGTTTACAGCTTAGGTCACAATGACGTCACCTCACTGTCATGTCATCAACAGGTAGACTTCCCGCCGATTCCATTCACATCTGCTTCTAAATAATTTGATAGTGAAAAAGATCTGCTAAGGTGAAGAGGAGAGTATGATGTCTTGTATTATAATGATGGTAAGGTACAAATGAACCTATGCAAAAGTGTATCGGAATGTGACATAAGTATTTAACGTTCTCGACCTATCCACTTTACCCTACATTCATTCCATCACACTTCTCACCTCACCAATTCCTTAATTTATCAGACATGAAAATTCCATAAGGATAAAATTTATTTTAGGAACATTTTGATCGATAAACATTTTACTACTTACTACTTCATCTGCATATCTATGCTTCAGATAAAGGAAAGTATCATTAACTGTCTCAGTCCTGCTAAATCGATAACAAAGTATCATTAACTGTCTCACAGTCCTGCTAAATCAATAATTATTTCTCTGTGAATCCTTCCAGTGCTTCTTTTAACTTTTTTCTCCAGCAAAAGAGTATACAAAAGACAAACAACTTCAGAGGGATAGTATAACGCAAGAATTCATTAATGAGTGAAAAAACAAACTTCTTCCTTTTTCGATGTTTTTTGAACTACAACTTAAAATATTAACTGTCTCAGTCCTGCTAAATCAATAATCATTTCTCTGTGAATCGCCTGATCCTTCCAGTGCTTCTCTTAACTTTTATACAAAAGACAAATAACTTCAAAGGACTAGTATAACGCAAGAATTGGAAGTATAAAACAAAAACAAACTGTTTCCTTTTTCGGCATTACACAAGTATTAATTTATACTGGCAACGCATCGATAATTTCGTAGAGGTTTTACTTACAAAAAACGGAAGAATAAACTAGAATTTGAATGATCAGAATTGAATAAGCGTGCGACGGTAAGCGAATTTGAAGTTTGCTGATACCCGGCTCATTCATTGGTTGTAAAACATTGCAAGCGTTGTAACAAGGCATATTTTATGAGTAAAAGAACTGATAACCTTTCAAATAACCAAATCCAAAATCAGCCGTCAAATTGGTAAACCAACAATTCAGTTGAGGGCAACACATATTTTTTGTTAACAAACTGTAACTGGCAACGTATCGCTAAAAAAATCACTAAACGATGCAAATAAGCTCAGCTAGAATTTGAAGATGAGTATTGGATGGAATCCTTATTTACGAAGACATAAAACTGAAAAGTTTATCTAAGGAATTTTTAAAATACGAAAATCTTTAAACTTATTGATCTATGCAAATTTATTTCTAAATATTACCAGTTTTCCCGACATAAATAACATTTAGACGACCATCAATACATACTGCAATTATGCCAAATGTTACATTTATTCCAACCATTACTCAACATAACTACGAATTACTAATGTCTTAAATCTGTTATCGTACGCATTTAGCATATACACCTCCCTAGAAGCCCTTGAATCCAATTCACAATGTCCAATCCACGAGAAAACGACACATCAAACATCACGTGGTGGGGTCAGCCGGTCCAGCGCACATTCCGTCGTACGTTATGCCACTACGGCAAAATCCGGATCATCATACCCACACTACGAACTACGAAGGATCGTCGAGCTTCGACTCACCTTCTTTCATTTCCATCAACTATGTTTCTTGCATACAGCTGTGAGTGAGACGTGCAAGAGAGCAAAAAACACACACACCCTCTCTCTTGCGCTTTCGTTATGTCATGCAACATCACCAATCTAACCGATACTCGAAGGTCAAAAATCATGGTTAACACTGGTAATAAATATATATGAGTAGGTTCAAGGAGATCGACACTAGGATCAGTTATGAACTATTGTTATGCTTTGAACTTTGACCTTGCCCGAATTTACACTGTTTTGTTGCACTTCTATTTGGGAAGGAAATGGCATTAGGTCATCATCGGTAGATGAGTAACAACTTGCATAAATAGACGGTAAAATTCTTGCATGAAGTGACATATGAAGAGAAATTTTGCTTAAATTTGCAGTATCACGGAAATTTTCTAATTAAAACAATCCCTTTCAATGTAACTTTTTATTTTCAAAAACAATATTTACAGGGGAAATAGTAATAATGTAAACGAAAAGCGCAAAGAATTGACGGAAATTTCGCCAATTCAGAGCGGGTAAAGTATTGCAGATACTGAAATTTGAACTACAATGGCCTAAGCGGTGAAAAATACCTGATACCATGACTCACCTAAAAATTACTAACAGTCAAATTGGCCGAATTTTATGGCAAGCAAATGACATATTGAAGATGCGTGGAATTGTTTCTCGGCCAAATAACAACTCGGAATCAAATCAGAAGTTGACTTTGTTGACTTCCAATCTCTAATTCCAAGTAAAAAGCACAGAAGGATATGATAAGGCGAGTATTAGTATTGAAATATAAAACTGAAGTTCAAAACATCGAAAAAATCCTTCACTGGAGATTTGACGCCAACTATTTACTACGGCTCGAAATATCGGTGATAAGTTTAATGTGACTCCAATTATTTGATTCAGTAAACAAAAGCATAACAATTCATTAGCCATACCGATTCGATATTTCCTACTTTTTCGGTGTCTTATATATCGGTGGAAGATTAAACCCTTTTAAGCGTCTTCTTGTTTCTTTGTCGGCCGATCTCAATGGCGACGAAGTTTTTGGACCAATCTGGAAATTTTTGTTCTTTGAAACATCTTCTAATTTAATTTGAATAAAAAGGGAAATATCTGTCTTGTTGCCTGCAAACCCCTGGAAGTAATGAGATCGAACAGTTACACATTCCAAACCGGCTGAGCAGAACATTAAAAAAAAATTTTTAAAAAATTGAAAAGTAAGAAAAGAAATATTACCGTTGGTGGCCGTACGGGTGTGATCACCGAGTGAAGGCTTGCTGTACTTGCTGAGACAGATTTCATGTGTGATAATAGTGTGTCTGGAGCCTAAATAAATAAAAGAAATTATGAATATATCCTAAAATGATAATATGGCCTCGTCACAGTAACTATAGAAAAAAAAAAAAAAAAAAAAAGAGAAAATGCATATTATTCATATATTTTTACGGAAAATATTGAACAAAATCAAAAAGTGAATGTACTAAAAAAAAAAAAGGAGAATATACTAAAACTAAACAAACCTTTGATGTTGTTTGATCAAATCGTGTAAGTGGCTTTACTTTCGCTACTTTAGCTGAAGAGCAAGGAGTAACAAAGGTTGGCGGAGCACCACGCTTCTTTGGAGTAACTATATTTGATATATTCGATACGCTGCCCGTGAATACCTCCACTTGTTTCTATAACATGAAATGATATTTTGTATTGTAATTACAGATACAAAGAAGAGACAGACGTGTTTCAAATACTCATTAAATTTATCAATTAAATTAGTCACTGGTTGATAATTCAAAAACTATCTTTTTGTACATAATCTTAAATAAAGCAACTAAGATTAAAACAATTTTTTCCTAACATAAACATTCATACAATCAAACAAAAGCACGAACTTTTCGTTTACGTTCAAGCTCCCTATTTATTCGATATTCTTCCATGATGGATTCGATATGTTCGCAAGGTGATAAGCCGTCCATTAAAATTTGATTATCATGAGTTGACTCATACTTTTCCACCTCTTCTTTCAATTCGTTTTGTATGATTGGAAGTCGATGCGCAATGAATTTCTGTCGCTAAATTCAGAGAATGTGAAACTGGCGAGTATAAATCAGAAATATTGAAAAAGAATAATAAGCAAAGACGTATATGTTAAATATTTTGATAAACTAACTCGAATCTAACATTCTTCAAAAATTTTTTTGTATGAGCCTTAATACTTTGCAAAAGTGAACGCAATTCTAATCATGGCACATACTACTACCTAATTTCATACTTTTTAAGCGCGAAAAATTATGAACAGAATCACTTGAAAGCTCGCACCGAGCACTCATTTATCAAAAACTACCTACCACTAATTACCAACACTTGGCATATACCTTCAAAGCTGTTTGCAGCTCACAACCACGATTGTGATAACGTGATTTATCGTTTGCGCTGCGCTCAAATTCAACTTTTTCATTCCAAAGATCTTTCCACTCTTTCATTTTTTTATACACTTCAGCACGATCAGTAAGAAATTTTTCTAACGATTTCACTTGTTCCTTCGCTTGCTGGATATCATGTATGGTATGAATACCTGCAAAGATGTTATTTATCGCTATTTAAATGATATGCGTTTTATATAGGATCTTTCCTTATCTTCCTACTACGCTATAAGAAGTTAATAATTGCAGTGAAAATCTTAAGATCACTACGATTTAATAAATACTTTGTCAACTTTTAAGTAAGTGTAACTGCTCACTTGGATTAAATTCTCTTGCAATATTTCGCTCTACATCTGGAACATGACATATATCCCAAAGTTCGCTAAGTTTTAGTAGTGTCTCTGTATAGTCAAAACAAGCCTGTTCAATCCATTCGTTGTATTCTGCTTTAACCTAAATTAATGAAACAATCAACGACAATGAAACGTTGTATTTCATATAAAGGCCGAAAGATGGACTCCTCTGGCAGATGTGTTAAAGCAATAAGCACTTTTCAATCAAAAAATACCTCATCAAAAGCACTTGCAAATTCGTCCAAAAAATGTTTATCCCAAACCAGTTCTTCATTATCCAAATCCAAAGCAGTGAATGTTTTGCCTAATTCTTTGGACGGGGTACTACCCATTTGCTTGTACCAGCGCTTCATGTCCACCTGCCATTGCTTACAATTTTGCATGCGTTCAGTAAGTAATTCATTCAGATGAGAGACACGATCCTGGAGACACGCAATTGCCGTATCATCACAAACCTAAATAATTGGGTAGTGGATTTGCTGCATTTATCAAAATTAAAATGTGTTAATTCCAAATATGAAAATAAAAAATTTTATTTAATGAATATAATGTCATACATCTTAGTTCTCACCTTTGATAACAAACTTTCTCGCAGCTTCAAATAATATCTATTGCATCTTTATGCAAAAAATATAAATGGGAACTGTATTATAAAATAGTATAAGCTACATACAGCAGTACTTGATGGAAGATCTTCAATTTCTTCACCGGTTTGCATCGCAAGTTTTGCAAGTTCCTCAATTAATTTCTTCTGTCCTTGCAATCTATCATCCTTCAAACTCTGCAATCGCCCTACATCTTGATGTAGCGCACGATACTGAAAAACATAACAGATAATTATTTTTGGATGTTGATTAAAATCGAAGCATATCACAACACCAGATGTTTTGATTCAAGCAATGGCCTGAATTTAGATAGCATAGATAAATGTACAGGAAAATAATTCACATTTCAAAATATATTACGCCTACAGACAATTTACTGGAAATATAACGAATTTACCAATGCAAGTGAGCCTGGTTTGATGTGAGTCCTGCCAATCGGCTGCAAATGAAGTTCCTTGTACAGATCTTCTACTTGCCTACTCATTTCTTCGATACCTTCCTGTATTCCTTCAACCATTTCTTCTTCATCAACTACCTGGAATTTTAAGAAGAGATTTACAAAGAACCTAAACATATAAAAAACTCGATTATTAGCACAAAATATTTGCAACATTCTGCCATTTTTTGGGCTCCTAGAAGAGTTACTGATTTACTCGAAGAATTTTTTAAAGGCCAAATCTCAAGTGCAGAAACAGAATGAAGCAATATTCTGCAAAGAATCTGTATGTCCAGTTAACTTAACCCCAGTAAGTCTTTATTTGTACTATTAAAGAATGTTTATAGCTTAGCCTAACCAAACTAAAAAAAATCTCATATACTAAGCAATAAGAACCAGAACTTTAAAAAACTAAAAGAGGAATCAAACCATCTGATTTAGAAGGTCGGAAATATACAGGAAGAACTTCTCAATACGCCTGCATCTCATGCACTCCTCCATATTTATCCGGTCCCACAACTGATTCAACCGATCGATAGTGTCACGAATAGAAGAGACCGCTTCGGCTGTAGAAAAATTGACCGAAACTCTAAAATCACAAACTAAAAACTGCGATATAAGCTTTAAGACTGAAAAATTTGCAGATTTAGTAGTACAAAATTATGCCGAAATTACGCAAACATTAATAAATATAACTCACCGCCTACGTGATAAACTCTCCTTAGCCATTGCTTAAAAGTTCAGTAAATTGGTACAAATTGTACTTAGAGCAATTTCGAGAAGCTGAAAAGCATCAAGGAATCATTGCAGCATAAAAATTTCAAAATATAATTAGCATCTTCATTCATTCAAAGTCGTTCACTTTTCATTCATTTTTGCTACAAAGCACAACTTTTTCTCTAACATTAAAACATAAAGACGACTAGTATGATATATTTATTATTACAAAATATTTCAATTTGCAAAAGTTGAAGTCCAAATCAAATCTCTTTTCGTTGCCAATTAAATAAATGTTGTTAGTAGAAAACATATAATGAAGAAAGAAAAAGTACGGATAACATTTTAACTTGAATTCACTGCTAAAATAGGCACGACAATTTATACACTTTCATTTTTTAAGTATTTCGTCGGGGAATAATATTCCATCTATTTTCAAATTTCGAATTGAATTTTAATCAATTAAATTAATCACAACTGGAATAAATTTTTTCAATATAACATTTGGAGTAATTATTACATTTCTCGAATTATATTAGATCTCACCCCGAATACAAATCAAACAAACCATCGCCCGACAGAAGATGAAGAAAACCAAAAATTCAAACTCCCTTTCACCGCTTCGGCATGAAATTCAAAATTCGCCGTCTGATACAGCGCAATATCAAGCGTAAATTTCAAATTTTTGAAATATTATTTTGATTTATCTTTATCCATTCAAGAATTCTTCTACTTGTTTCTTTATTTATTTATTTACAATTATTTGACTTGTTATGAGTAAACACGTTAAATAAGGTAGAATATGCGAACATAAATTGAATAACTTGTGCCATTGAATAAACGGTTCGTTATTTTGCTAAAACTGTAGCTAATTGATTTGGAAATATTTGCTAAACAAAAAGAAATGGTAGGTAATTAATAAATTAAACACACGGATTAATTACATGGATTAGTTACAATAATTTGATAATACACAGGAAGTTTTAACTGAATGCAAAGTGATGCTTAAAAAAACAATTACAGTTATATTTGCATTTTAGATAAACAGTTGGAAGACAGTTTATTGAAATATGAAATGGATTGTTAGAAAAGGAAGGTACCATTGAATGAATGAATTTAAAGAGAAGTTTAGAAGAAACATTAATTGGTATGATGAGAATAGAATATAAATGAAGAAAAATGGCATTAATTAATTCACTAATAAATTAGAAAAATGAATTATCACATAGAAAAAAAAAATGAGATTATTAATGGCAAAGTTGAGGAACAAATTAATTATGAATAATTTTAAGCAACGAGTTATAAGATTATAGTTGTAAGTAATATGTTAATTATAAGTAATAGCGCTGCATAAGCCTGTGTTATATTAAGAAATTATATTAAAGCGAAAAAAAAAGGATTCATTAACTATCAGCCAAATATCAGTTATATTACTATAAGTAACGGTTATGCCACTGTGAGTTAGTTATATCACTATGATAAGTCTTGGCTAACACATTTTTATAGCTATGGTTGAAGGTTGAATATGGCTGAAGCAGAAATTTTTGTGACTTCCATTGATTTAAAAGTATTGATATAATCAAATTTTTACTGTAACACTGAAATAATTCATAACACTCAATAACTATATGACCATAGTATGTAATTAAAAGAGAAAATTAATTGATTAAATAATTTAAACTATTCTTAAAATATAGAAAAAAATGAAGAGAATCAAATCATATCATCAAATCGTAATTATGGCATGATTTCATGCCAATAACAGTAACAAATGATAATTTTATGATACATAGTTAATAGATATATTAGCAAAATTTATTAAAAAATAAAAATATGGAATTACAAAGATGTGATTTTCGAAATTTTGGTTTAAAAAAAAGGAAAAAATTTGGTGGTTAAGAAAATAATGCGTTGTTGAAATATTTATGTATTTCAATAATAATACAAATTAATAAATTACAAGGTAGGATAATTTTTAAAATGAAAAGAAGAAATAATAATGCTTATAAGCATATTTTTCCTTCACATTAACAAGTGCATAAGAATAATTAGCGGTATTTAAGAATGATGTGTTCTATATATATTTTGCAGTAAACAACAATGGATAATAAATTTTAGATGGATTATTGGATCAATTAATTAATGCAACCTATCATGCAATTATTTTGGTTAATAACGGCAAATAACTTGATGAATTTTACTTGAATTATTAAGACATTTCCAGAATAGATAAAATTTAAATATGCTTATAAGCATATTGCTTATAACCTACACATATTCAAATATATTTGGTTTAAATGGTATCATTTTCAATGAAATGAAACACATAATAAGAAAGAATTTTGAAACTCAATAAATTTAACTTGACTAAAAATTTTAAAAATTTTAGTGAAACGTTTTCAATCTTATTAATTTAAAATAGTATGTTTAAAAAAAAAAACTTAAGCTTACATTCATTTTTTCTATTTTTTTTTATATTTGATCAAAATTTTGCTTTGAAAATTATATCTCAACTATATCATTTCATCATTTTGCATTATTTCATCAAGAATACAGTATATTTAACAATGTTTGATTATACAATTAATAATGATATTAAAATCTTTTTATAAACATACGTTTAAAATTTGCATTCATCATCTTAATTTCCTTCCATCAAACTTCAATTTTAATTAATTTTTTTCCCATAAAATTTAAACTTTATTTGCGTATCGTATTACTATCTATCACTTTTCAGTCTTATCTCATCAACTACTTGTCACATAGCATGCATGCACTTTCCATGTAACACTCAAAATGCCTCATCCATTAAGACATAACAAAGTGATCGATCCACACGACAGCTCCTCCATCTGCTCTGTCCCAAACACCATTACTACGACTACACATGCCCGATCACTGTGCATCTTGTGCACCATCCACGTCCGTTCGCTTTATTTTTCAGAATCCATTATTCAATATCAATACAGAACACACACATACACACACATGCACGCACACACACACACACATACACATACACACATACACATACACACATACACAACTACAAGAAAAAAAGAGAAAAAGAAAGACGTAGACCTAAAAAGCTTTCAAGTCTTACTTGTAAATGTATTCCACAAAAAATATATTCACTTATATTCGATACATGCTATTCTTCAATAAAAATCACTGAGATTCAAGTTTCAATGAACAATTCTTTTTTTTTTTTTAATTTTTTTATAATTCTTAAATTTCCTTTCCATTTTTTCTCTTATAAATAAATTTTTTGAAGAAAATTGAGATAAATTAACAAGCAGAACATTAGTCACACTAATAGATTCGTTATTAATTATTCAAATTTCATTTAATGATTAATTGTATTAACAAAATTCTTCATGCTTAACATCTTATGCTATTTACAATAACAATCATCTTATTTGCCTAGGAAAACAAAATGATGCAATTTGTTTTTTCTTCTCACCTTTCATTTTTTTTTTTTTTTTTGTTGTATCTTTTCAACAAAAAAGAAAAGAAAATAAAGTAAAATAAAAAAAAGAATTGGACCATTTTGTCATATGCCTTTTTTTCTTCCTTCCTTTCTTTTTTGCCAGATATATTGAGTGAAAATATATGCATTTGTGCAACAATTTTTCCACTTCAATTATTTTTACATTCAACTTATCTTTTCTTCTTTTCTTTATCTTTTTCTACTTTTTTTTCTTTAATTTTGGTTAATCTCAAGTGGTTTGTACTTTTCTTTTTGAGGTAAAAAACGAATAGTTTATTTTAACACATCTTAAAAGAGAGATGGAGAAAGAGAGGAAGACTGTAAAAATCCCCTCCTTCTTAGCACTTTTATTATTATTATTATTTTTTTTTTGAAATCAGAAATTTTTCAAGAAAAAACCAAAGAGATATGTAAAAAAGTATATAAATCTCCTACAAATAAATGATAATTTCATCTTTTTGTTTTTATCAAAAATTTTTATGGCTTTTTCTCTTTTTGTTTTTTCTTCATTTTTTTAAATTTGATTCCTATCGTTTTATTTCTTGATATATCTTCTAGTTATTCAGTACAAATATATGCCGAACGTTGTTCAAATGGTTTCAACTGGGTTACTGCGATGATATAAAAAATTTGGAATGACAACTTCTTCAAGCTTATTTAAAGTTTCGTTTTCGGATGTAGTATGACTGATAACATTGAAAAATCGAAAAGACTATAAACCGAAAAAATCCTCGTCGACTTTATTTCATGCATAAAGATTTCAATTAGTTTCAGTTAAGGATGAGAAGAATTTTACGAAGAATCTCAGTTTTACAAATAATCTCAGTTTACTTAAAATATTTTAGTTATTTAAGGCTCAAAGAAACATAGTCAGAAACTTTGGTAAAGTTATATGTGATGACAAATGTAACAGCAAAATTTGAAAAATGCAGAATTGAAAGTTTTATCTGGTTTAATAATTTTAACATCTTATCGAAGGAATTAAAATTATGTAGCCAAAGTGATACCATTAATTAATTCAATTTTATTATAATTCGAAGTAAATGATTCCTTTTTATAGCATTAAGCATAATGAAAATGCTCTCATTTCAACCTTTTTTTTTGAACCAAAAAATAGTTTAAAAGTTTTTGGTTAAATTTGATCGCTATAATTAGGAAAATTATTATAATTGTTTAAGCATCATGCCATGGCAGCGAAAAATTTGCGATGAAAGGCCAACAGTTATGAAGAAGTTATTGGACCAAATGCAGTCGAAATAAGGTCAGTAATAAAAGAAATAAGTGGCAAAAGATCTTTTAAAAGAAAATTAAATTCATTTTTCGAATCAAATTTAATTTGGAACCTGTTATAGATCAGTTAAGCAATAATTCAATTTGTCATTCACACAATCTTTTCTCCCCTGTCAATCTGAAATCATTTTTACTTCATTTGCATAAAAGTGCTTTTGATTAATGCAAATAAAGTAAGATAAGTGGAGAGGATGAAAAAAAGAATCATAAATTATTCACTTCAAAACTAATTTTTTATAGCGAATACTTTTCTTGTAATTAATTTCATGAAAATAATTGATGGAAAATGAGTCGTTAAAATACATGCAGTTTTATACATTTCATTACAATTCTTTCATATATTTGATTACACTTCTTTCATTACACTTCTAGGGATGATTTTGAATATTTGTTTATATCTGTGGGAAGGTACTTTATTATTTGATCACATATTTAGGAAGTATATTATATTTTATTACGCCTTTCATTGAATATTTACAAATTACATTCATCTTTTCTTAAAACAGTTACAAAAGCATTTTCTTATTTAATTACATGCCAAATCATTTCTAACTGTAATAACGCTAACTATGCTATATATAAAGTGATATCTGATAATTATTAAAATAGATAATATTTATAAAATAATCTGTGTGAAAATGTGATATGATGATAAAGAATGATGTTAAAATGTGGGAAAAGAATCGTTAAAGTGACAATAAAGTGATATGGAGGCAACAATGTGATCAGATTGATTAAACAATTTCAAGAATAATAAACAAAAGGCAAATATGTTTGTAAACATAAAAAAAATCCATAAGCAAATGATATCCACATACGTTTTTACATTTTTGTTTGCTTGTATAACTATTAATTAATTCTGAAATTGCAAAAAATTCATTAAAAATTTCATACAGAAATATTGTATATTAATTAAATAGCATGTAAGAAAAAAAAGTTGTATTGAATAAAAAGAACTTTTCGTTTCTTGTTTTCATTCTCCATAAATTTAAAATTTAAATCAGAATTAGTTTCCCTCATAAATGTTTATGAAAAATTGATGAATTCGTGGAGGCTTTCCGATTTTTTTTTGTTTTTTTTTTTTTTTTTTTTTTTTTTTTTTTGCTCCATATTTTAAAATATTAGGTGCATAGATGAATTATATTTACGAAATAGACCATCTGGATGTAAAATACACATACTTGGAGCACCAAAAAAAAAAGTGCTGAAATGTTTAATAGCAAAAAAAAGATGGAAGGACAATTTTTATTCAGCATGGAATAAAGAAATATGAATTGTTGAAGCATAATATCATTGTCAAAAACAACATTATCACATCGATATTGTTATTAATCACTGTCATTAGAATTATTATTATTACAACTAATGATAATAAATTTTGTGGTTTATCCCTAATTAGATATTTTTGATTTATTATATATTTCCATTCTTCAATTTTTATATTATATATGTAATTTTGCTTTACAAACAAATTAAAACAAATGAAAAGTTTAGATTTCTTTCTTTTTTTTTTATCTCTTTATCAAAGAAAAATTTTTACATAAAAAGATAGCTTCATTGAAACTATCATTTTAACGATGAATTTAATAGTTTTTCCCTATTTTCCATGGAAAAAAAAATTTTTTTTTTCATTTAATAAAATCGGCATCCGTTGAAGCCATCAATTTAATAGCAGTTTTAGAAAATTAAATAAAATGAAAATCGAAAGAATTTTCATTTTATTTATTCATCAAATAGTTTAGTTATCTTTATTCTATTATGTTAACTAAGCAAATATATGGTTAAGATAGTAATATTTTATGATTGTTATCAATTTATTACTTTTTGTTATTTTTATTTCTATTATTGTTTTTGCTATTATCATTGTTGTTTTTTTAAGATTAAAAGTCAAAAAAAAAATTTTTTTTTTTCATTCTACAACTTTTATAATATATATAGCAACAACTGTATTTGTTGCTATTTGTTTCATTTTCAATAAGCGTAAAAGCTTTAATGATATTGTGATAGGTTTATTAACTGATACAAATGCTGCAATTAATAATAAATTAGTGTGAAATAAAAGGTAGCAAAAGAAGGCAGAAAATTGTTCAACGATTCAAAATATTGAATATTAGCTGCTATAGAGGAAAAACAAAAAATAAATCTCAGCCATTAAATGATGGATGTTGAACAGTTAGCATCACGCGAAATTAACTGCCATTTTTTCATTTTAGCATTATTATTATTATTATTATCTATTTTTCCCTCTTATTGTTATATCAACTGATTATTCTCCTATTATATTGTTTTAGTAGAAAGATTCAATCAATAATGTATTAATGATAATAGAAGTAATTTGTGGTAAACATGGAAAAAACATTGCAAATATGGCAAAGAATTTATGTTTATCAGCGATTTAAGCCACTTTTAATTTTAGTACAATTGCTGATTTCCCGCTTTCTATTCCTAATTGTATTATTTAATCAGCCAGTTATTAATTAATGTTAGAGCAATTTTTTTTCTTTTAATCTTTTATTTATTTTTTTTTTTTCATTTTATTTTATTATGCTTTTTTTTTTTCAAATAATAACATTTCCTGATACAAATATGAAAAGAAAATAGTGGTATAAAATTTTGGAACAAAAAATAAATTATTTTCCAAAAATAAAAGAAACGATAAATTAATAACAGACAAGCACAAAAAACAAAACAAATACAAACAAACAAGAAAATAAACAGATGAACAAATTAAGTTCTAAGTGATAAGCTAACATTTAGAAAAATAATAAAATAAACAAATGAACAATGGAAATAACTTTTTTTTTTATTTTAAGATATAAAAAACTATTTACACTTACTCATACGATTAATGTTACTGCAATAGTAATTTATAATATAATAATAATAATTTGATAAAAAATAACTATAATAATAACTGCTTTTTTCTCCAATAAATTTTGTTTGTTTCCAATAAATTTTCCTTGTTAATTTAATTTTTGACAAAGGTAATACATTATACACAAATATATGCTCACGCACATGTGTTACACATTAAATTATAAAAGTGATTGTATGTGCAATATAAAATGTATGCGAATGTAACATGCAACATGCAGCATGCAGCATGCATCAATATCTTTCTCACAGAAACAAGATTTGCATGTGAATTATTTTTAGGCATCCTCTTTTGTCAATACTTTCAAATTTGTCGCATAACAAATGATGGATTTTCCAGATATCGGACTTCATTAATAATTCAATGGATATTTACTACAGAATAT